TATTTACTACTTCAACACCAGGCACGTATAATCCGCAGTTCGCACAATTACTGCGTGTAGAGGGACGTGTAATAGAAATTGTCTCAAATACGGGTATACCAATAATAATTTTTTATATTGTATTGACAAATAAACCAGTATAACGCGGTGAATAAATCACAATCAACGATTTACCACACTCAACTACGACGTGTGGGAAACAATAATCAACAACTTCAGAGAATCCAACAAAACCGACGCTAAAGTTATTCAGTGAAACCTTGTTTGAAAACAAGAGTGGAGAAAGTAAAGGTTCTCACAGATTGAAAGGGAATCGCTAAAAGTGAAATTAGTTGCGGCCCGTGACGACGTCTTCGGCGAACATTGGAACAGTGAAACACTGACCCAGTGTCGGACCGGGGGGTGGTTTTGTTTGACAACATGACTACCCCAGACATCTTGTTTGGCAGACCTTGGCCACGGTGTTTGATCGTATCGAATTGTGTCCTGACAACGTTTTAGGCACGGTGGCCACAAAGGAGGTGGGAATTGGTGTTGTGATGCCAAAGACGTTTGGTCTGATTTCTTGGTTGTCTTTGAAAATGTAACGCGGCAGTTACACCTGCATTGATAAAGGAAGACAATTTGTTGAGTTTGAGAGACGCGTTAATAGGACTTTGTAAGAGGAAAGGAACAATCGTAGTACATAACTCTTGACTTGATCATACATTAACAGGGTGTCCACAAAAGATTTTTCATTAATTTCCTTTACTATCGATGACCATTTACCATTAATTTCCATGATTTTCGAACTTTACTAGAAAATTATAATACAACATACAAACACGAATAATACTGCCTAAACATGTTATTTTGTAGACAATACTGAAATATGTATTAACAGATAATAATGGAGTACAATAGGCGCAACAATGAACTAAAGCAAACTCAAAACTCATAAAATAGAAGAACTGTAATAAATTGAATTGTCGAACATTTGTGAAAAATCCTGAAAAATGCTACAACAGTCGGGGTTACGGCTGACTAGAACATTGAATGGTCCCCTCAAATCCATCCATCATTGGGGATTTCCATGACTTTCCACGACTTCTTGCCTATTTCCATGACTTTCTCCCTTTTACTCCCTCTCAATTTTTGACACTGGAGAAAATTTTGCACTTTAATGTTTTGTGGGATTTTGCTTTTCGACTCAGGTTGACTCGGTGTCAGCTATCGAAAAAAGGAGAATACATTGTTTATAGTTTATTACGATTGCGATTGAGTGAACACTTATTGCTCAAGATATAGAGACGTGGAGAGTAAAATGAAAGATGTCCACGTTGAATCAATAGGATGTTCAACTCCTGGTCCTATCTGTGGATTTGTTCCGTGCATTCGGACATCCTAAATTTTACGTGGGTCGAAAATGTCAACATTACAATAATTAGTGCACCGTGTATATGACGTTATCATATTTCAAAATACCATTTCAAAAGACTTTTTTTAGATACTTCAAGTGTTCAAGTACAATATCCACAGTAAATGCGAAACATTAAAGACTGTTGACAATTTTTAATTGAAAGTTCTGCTTCCAGATGTAAGCAGCGACAGCAGCCATCATATACCTCCACTACACACAGTAACTGGTGGCTGTGGTGGCTGATGGCTGATGGCCACTTGACAAGACAATACACATCCTGCGCTGACTGACGTAACGCGAACTTGGCCCCGATACAGCTGACACCGTTTTCACTTTTCGCGCCACAAGGACACACGCATGCGCAGCTACCCGCGCAAACCAGCGCGCTCTACAGCTGTGGCTGTGGGAGCCGAGTTTGACATTTGGAATTTTTTGTGTCAATACGAATAACGAATTCTCGGTAAGCATTGATGTGTCAGAGTCTGGTGGTTAACTATGTGTGTTTTTTGCATTCTGCGTGAAAATCCAAAAGAATTTGGCGAATAAATTAACGAAAATGATTTTTCGTGTGGTTACAGTGTACGAGCAATTAAAATATTTATTTGTACCGGTATCTACTTCACATTAGTATGCCCTTAGTGCCCTACTGTGTATGACTAAACTAAATTATAAACCACCATATTCTTTAACATCGATCTTGAGTAGTTTTCGTCATAAAACATACATACATCAAACTAAATGACGGGAAAATTCAATTATTGAGCACACGGGACGCAGCATTGATTTAAATCGTAATATTTTCTTCTAAAATAGTTTATAATGTTTAAAAAATATAAAATGTACTACAGGTTACGCAGGACTACAATTTAATTTTTTTTGTCCTTGGACGCTAGGCACGAGTTCGAGATTGTTTTTCACATTACTTCAGGCTAGACCTATATCACAGCCACCTCTGGTGGCTATGCCTATATTTATAGGGGTTGTGGCATTATCACTTAGATAAAATCCATTGGTGATTTGGCGGGATTTGAGCCCGAGACCTCGGGCAACGAAGTCCGAGACCCCAACCACTAAGCCAGTAAGTATATTGATATTTCTGCCAATGATAAATGTTTAAATTTATAAAAGATTCAGAACAAAATACCCCTCAAATAAACATTGTGACGGAAAGTTAAACGAAAACGCTAAAGCATTTAGCCAACTTATCTTCCTAGCTCAAACTAATTGGAAAGATACCTTCAATTCATTCGCGATGAGTAATTCAAGCGAGGCGCAAGACTCATATCGTCCATAAAAAAGTCGAAACGACGTCTTAAAATCCCCTAAAATCAAGGCGTATAAAAGACCAGACCCTTGCCCCAAAATAACCGCAGAGTACACAAGAACATTACGTAAACCTTTAATTAAACACCATGTAACACATCGTACACTTTCATACATATTGTAAGGGAGGTATAAAAGAGAATTGGCAACACTGGCGCTTGAGCCGGGCGCGGGCTAAGTTGCGTAACTAGCTAAGTGTTGCGGCAGGCGTACCACGTGTACAGTGTTGCCAAACTGTGCACCATTCATCATGGCACAGCCACCGCCACATCGATAACATTGTTTACACCACCCCCGCTACTGTCACTACCACTGCCACTATGATACCAGTACCAGCACGTGGTGGTCTGGACGTGCCTATAGACTCTAGACTGGGCAATAAGTTAACTCCTGAACTGGTAGAAGGAACAAAGAGTAGGCCTAGTCGAGTCCACACTCCACAGTAGACGACTGTCGACTGTTAACGTTAGGCTACTCTATAGTCTGTGGCCGAACTGTACAGGGAAATTATTTTTATTCTGAGATTGTCACGTCAAGACGCTTCTAGAATTAGTACACCCTTTTCGTGGCACATTTTTTTTTTTTTTTTTAACTATCTAGATAAAGAAACGCTTTTAGAATTAGTATACCTCTTTCGTGGCACAATGTTTTTCTTTGAAAATTATCTAGATAAAGTAACGCTTTTAGAATTAGTACTGTATACCTCTTTCGTGGCACGATGTCTTTTCTAAAAAAAAATATCTATATAAAGTAATGCTTTAAGAATTAGTATACCCCTTTCGTGGCACAATGTTTTTTTTCTTTAATAAATTATTTAGATAAAGTAACGCTTTTAGAATTAGTATACCCCTTTCGTGGCACAATGTGTTTTCTTTGAAAAATTATCTAGATAAAGTAACGCTTTTAGAATTAGTATACCCCTTCGTGGCACAATGTTTTTTCTTTAAAAAAATATCTAGATAAATTAACGCTTTAAGAATTAGTATAGGCCTACCCCTTCCTGGCACAATGCGTTTTCTTAAAAAATTATAAAGATAAAGTAAACACAAGGATACTTTCATTTGGTTTGGCTATTTGAACTGATTGAGAATCAAAAGGGAGGCCACTTCATCATAAGCATTAAACGCTTTGATGTTATTAGCTAAATGAATAATGAAAGACTTCCAACGCTCCTTTTAATTTTACAGGAATAACGTCTGAATGTGACTAATTTGGTGAGTGCAGATGTGGCTGTCGAAACCCATAGCCTTTGGAACATCTTATGTATGTATTGTATCTACCGTCTTTTAACACTTAAAGTGTGCATGTAAATACATCGGAGTATTGTCGGAAGAAGCAGTTTTTTTTTCAAGCCAGACATAGAGGGATTCAAAAGAATGGCCAACTCAGCGGCCATGAAAATGCTCCCAATGTAACCAGAATAACTAAGATTTTCAAAGGAGCCAAAAAATACCAGTTCGAGATTGGCCTTTAGGAACTGCTCTAGAAAACGTCGTAAATTTTATCTTTGGGATAGCAAGAGGCAAAATTTGTGAAATTCGTACCCGCCACCCCTGTTTATAAGGGAGGTCTACGATATGAAGGCATGGTGGAAATGAGTGGGGGGGGGGGGGTGAAGCAAGTGCCTCGCCGTGAAGAATCGCCGTTGCAGACAGTTGCGAAAAGTCGCTTTCACTTTCAACTGATAAGCAATACTTAAGGCTACACATCTACACACTGTGTGGCCGCGCAAGCAAACACACACTTGTCAAAGGATGGTCCGGGTATGAGTTGGCATTAAACACTAATGTGTCAAAGACATTTTACTGCCGGTTTTAAATTATAAATGGTAGTTAAGGAATAATGTCCTACTTAAATGGAAAACCTCACGTATATGATAAAGGTATTAAATCAAGGTATATTATCTTTGCTGATGATGTTCAACATGATTTCAATCTGTGATAGCACTTTTTTCCCTTCTTCCCTATTGTTTACGAATTTTCGTTCAATCGTCTATACTCCTTTTATCTATGGTTCAATCAAGAACACAATACACCCGAGAAGAAACCAGTGTACGTAGTTCTACCTCAGTACTGAGGAAACCTTATATGTACAGTCGAACCTCGCCAACAAGACTTTCAGGGTATTATTAAAAGAGACTTGTTATCAAAGTTGACTTGTTCTCGAGGTTTGCCATTCATTAGGGGTAAAATTAATTCTATGGGATTTGAAAATAGCTTTCGTTATCTTACTTAAAGACTTAATTAAACATATTAAAAGAAATCATCACTGAGCTTACCTTTAGGTCCTTGAAAAACACAGAATTTCTCGCCCAATCCACTTGCGAGAACAGATTTTGGTCCAACACTTTACACATGAGTTCGAAAAGGTCCACTTCGCACTGGTTGTACGTTTGGTTTTGCAACAGCCCGTACAATGAGTTCTGCCACTCGCGGTCATCCACGGATTGCACAAAGTCCCTGATCATGGGTGAGATCTTGGATTGACTGGGGGCGGTGTTGGCGGGGGCGGGGTTGGAGGCGGCGGGGGCGGCGTCGAAGGGCGAGTGAGGCGAGTGCGAGGGGGTCGTGCTGTTGGGTTGTCCCCACAGCTTGGCGTGCTCCTGGGGTTGTTGGCCCGAGGTGCCCGCGCTGGGCGGTTGTTGTTGAGGGTTGTTGTTGTTGTTGACCACCATACTACCCAGACCCGCCTGACCCAGCGCCACTGCTATAGGTGACGGCGAACTGTCCGGCGATGACGTCAGCGACGACACCTGTGGTATCTGGATCTCCTGTTTGATGTGCAGGCTGGCGAAGGGTGAGCTGCTGCCGGGGTAGCTGAGCGTCACTCCCTCCCCTAGCGCGTACTGCGCCGCCGACCCTCGGATGGTCTGGATGGCGATCTGTCTTTGTCTCATCATCTGCAGCTTCCGCGCTCTGTCTCTCTTGTACATAGGTCCGAATTTGTTCCTCCCTCCTCGCATCCTGTCCGCTCGTACCGCTGCAACAACACCACACATGCGTTAAGATTGTGAAACAATTTATTTTCAAAATGGATCATTTTTGAGCAAGTCTTAAAACAAGTTAAACTAAAATTATATTTTCGATGGCAAACATGTAGTTTACAATCAAAAAACCAACCCGATCCGCCTCAAGAACACCTTGCAAAACTGGCTGCAAGACATACATACCCTCACACTGATATAATGTTATACAAACATGACTTAAGATTTATTTGGTCTTTTAGTAAAATATTGCGAAAACATAACTAGTAGCCTAAAAATTATATCATCACGCTTGTCCGACTCTCCATTAATTTGTTTAAGAAAGAATGTCTGAAATACGCAACCACAGTACAACAAGGAGATTAAAAAACTATAAATACTTGTCACTATCCTAATGACATTTTACTTCAGCTAATATAAAGTTTGCACATTTACCTCACTTCTATTAGGAATATTACGTGTATTATATACAAAAAATACTTAGCATTTTAGATAAGTGTAAATAAATGTTATGTAAAGTAATGATTTAATTCCTCACAACTATGTTGACCAACCAATGGAAGCAATAAAATCCCGATAGCGTGTGGCTAATATCACAGCATAAAGAACGAGAGATAAAAACCATTAAACTTTATTGTGTACTACTACTGAGCTAATAGACAAGTGTGTAAACTGAATAATCACAATAAATCAACATATATTTTACTTGAAATATTTTTAATGCTCGAAAATCTTATCAACGCAAAAACCCAATTACTAATAAATGCACGTCACGGCGTAATCGTTATCAATTGCAGTTTAATTAATGATACAAGACGTAACAGATAACGTAACTCAGATAACAAGGAAGGTATCGGTAAAGTGAGCTAATGTATGATAAAATGTATGATTCGTCTACAGTCTACAGGCACAATGCCAACCAGACGATGTTATTGTAATCGTAAGGTTATCTAATGAATTTCCTACTCATTACAGTGGAAAATAAAATTTACACATTTTAACAATTCATTCGAGATAAATAAGAGTGCTGTGATTATGAGTAATTAACTAACTGCAACTAGTTGCATAGTTGCATTATGATAGACAAGAGAAAAATATATGTAGCTATGACAAATTAATATTAACTAATAAAGATTAAGAACGTGGAATCGGTGGCACAATCTGATATTGATGATAAATAACCAAAACGTCAATTCCTCCACAGCCTACCCAAAATATAATCCACTTTTTGCTTCGTATTTTAAAATGTGTCACCAAATTATTATATCAACTGGCACCCCCTTCCCAGTAAACTATCGGATGTATTCACTGCATTGAAAAAATCGTAACAAAAATTAATTTCAATGACAAAATTGTTTTACTAATTTCTTCTATTAATTTGAGAGGCGTACAAAATTTGATGTAGCAGTTGAGTTTCGGTGTTGTTATCATACAGTGACGTCACACCTGAATGATAACATACATAGAAGCTACTATCTTATCTCAGGTAACCCGTCTTTTCTGTAAAATAATGTACAGTAAAACTAGTAAAATATATTATTTACGTGATGATAAACATCCATGTTTGCCGAAGGAAAGATTTGATTAAAACACGATCAAATTCGTGATTATTAACGCCTGCTAAGTATTGTGAAATTCAAATTAGTGAAAAAATTTAATAGATAAAATAGCTCAACCTTGACGCATTAACAACCCCATAAACAATATCGTGACACAGTTGAAAAAATAAAGAACAAAAAAGATGAACAAGCTAAATAAAACACATGTTTGTACAGTATTTGCTTGGATCCAAAATTTTAAGTTATGTTGGTAAAACAGCTCGAATGTTCATTTGGCACAGCAGCTTGCAAAGTCTTCTGGTATAATAGTTCAAGGAGTGGTTCCAAAATCTTCATACAGGTAAACCATCTAATGAATAGTTGGAGTATTATTTTAGTTGAGTGGTTTTTAAATTATAGAAAGAAGATTCTTTTGCTTTTTGGTAATCAGATCTAAACAAATGCTCTTTACGAGTTCATATTAGTGGACCAGCATTACCCCTGAAGAGACCCTGAATTACACGGGACGTGATCGTGTGAAGTTCCAGAGAGCTAAAACCTACTACAGTATTGCTGTTTCACAATTTGTCCACTTCTAATTTTTTCTTCGGTCCCAATATGGAGTTTCCTACAAACGACTTGATCCATCAACAAGATCTTGTATGAGCTCACTACCAACGCCTGGATCAAGATGAGTGGAGTATCCTCCTCCGTGGGTTGAAGAGACCATAGAAGAAATCCAATGGGTTCATCACTGCCAAAAGTCAAACACATCTTGTCTTCTTCATAGGCCATCATAAAAATCTTGTGTACCGTCCGACCCCGGCAGCACTGATCACTCACTGGTTGGTCGGTGGTCAAGGTCCACTATTCTCGCCGGGGTGGCGCATGGCGCGGCGACGAGCGACGACGCACAAGGCACAAGTCTGCTATTATTACGCCAGGCAGCGTCGTCGAGCCGTGATTCGCGGTTTCAAGGTCGAACAACGCGCCGTTTCCGCCGGGCCAAACCCAACAACCGCCTACCACACTACCCTGGTATTCTAATCATATCTGGCCCGCCGCCGCCGCCACACCCTAGTCTCTCGCGCTTCCAGCGAACCGGCTGCACGAGGTAGAGGACCTTGAACAAGGGTAAAGGATACTGTGATAGGTCGCGTGATGATCAGGAACATTTCAAGTATGGCCAGCCACTAAGCCACGGCTGCACGAAGTAAAAGACTTTTGGAAAAGGGAAAAGGACCAGATGTTGCTGCCAAATGGTTAGGGCGTTCGCATGACAATACGAAAATTGCCAATTCGATAGGAAGAACAATTAAAGCACAAAAAGGAACCAAGTGATATTCCGCACTAAACCAGCTGAGGTACAGAACCAAAGAATATAAGCAATTGAAGCTAGTAGTTAGAGGGTTTACCTAGTAATCCTAAAGGTGTTGTCTATTCGTTACCGTACAGAGTTTCGTAACGAAGAAACTGAAGCACTTTTAGCACTATCAGTCAGTGCTTTTAGGTTGGAAGCATGTCAAGCTGGGCTAAATAAGTGATCCCGGCTAAGTATAGTAATTCTGTAATGTTACTGGACACGTGTAGTGCAAACCTGTTCTGCGTAGATGAATATACCTGTTGGTTGACTAAGTCATTAACCAAGAATCCTGTTTAAGAGTCGACAGTTTACAATATCCCCAGTTTTCATAAAGTTATGGAATTCGTTATTTTCAATCTTAAACTCTAGTTGAGTGTAGCAGTCAAAACTTCACCGAACTAAGAATAAGTGCAAAGTCAATTGAAAGGCCAAAACTGTTCCAATCAAAACGAAAAGTAACAATGGTTGCATGATGAAATGGCATTACCCAAACAAAGATAAAAACCCTTCGTGTACATGAAAATTCTCGAAACACAAAATAAACTCCTGCAGACACGAAAAATCTCCAAAATGTTATCACTGTGTCTACTTTAGTGGTGCATAGTAGGGTGGAACAGATTAAACTCAGTTGGGTGTGATTAAATATAAAACAAAAGCAACTAGACTGGTAATGCAAAGCGCAATTTATCACCGCAAATCCATTGCAAAGGTGCAGTTTAATGATGCGACTCACGCCACGGCCAGATAAGTGACCCTGGTTGGCGTGTTGCAAGGCCAAAGTCACGACCCCTGGTGACCTGACCTACCCCTACCTGGCTTGTATCGACCCTCTTACCAACGCCACGTGGCCGTCACCCCTCGCAAACACCTCCTTACAATCACTACCCACTATCAGCCGCCTGCAGTTGTACCTTGTCTATAATGCATTTTGATAAAATGACAAATTTGTATAAAAAAACTATATATCTTTGGTTAAGGCTTGCCACATCGGAGTTAGTGAGCACTGATAAGCTCTTCAGCAATATGAAATTAAATTGTAAATATTGTGTTACAGTGATATATTCTGACGTACTGTACTATGATTTAAGGGAATAATACTTGGGAGAATATTTCTTTAAAATTACTTTAAAAAAAACTTAAGAATACGATAGGCATGCATGAAATGAAAAATTAAAATGTGAGTATTACGACAATGGACTACTTTTCAGACCTAGGTCTGTTCAAACGAACAGAGGATTGGGGTTCGAAGACTTAAGGAGGACTTGGACAGGTCTAGAGAAAAAAAAAAAAAAAAAAAAAACATGTGACATTAGAAAACTAACTGTAAACAGTTGTAGATTAAATTTTCGAATGACGTTCCTAAAGAAAGAATTTGTATTTGACTTGGAAGAAATGCACTCAATGAGGACTTTGGACAAAACTAGAAAACAAGAAATATCATAAGGAAATCAAAATGTGTTGCTAATAAGGAATGCACTTTGGAATAAGTCTAGTACGTGTATGACTACTAAAAGGAGAATTTAGTCAGACCTGGAGGATACACGATCCATGTATCAGGGGACTAAATTGTGAATATTACAATTGACTACAATTTAGGACTGATGAGTTAGCAAAAGGATTTGGAGTAGGTTAGGAGGAATTGTTCGCAAGGAAGACTTGGGCAGATCTAGAGAACTGAGGCATTCGAAATAATTTTTGAATGTTACGATGATGTATTTAAATCCGGAACGATGTTCGCTTGAGTATTTTGTTTTGTAATATACTTAGGAAAATGCGTGTATTTGGGGAGATGTTTAGGCGTATATGGACCCCAAGGTTCAGTCAGCTCCAGGGGTAAGACTCATTGTGACTATGGATTAAATTCCGGACCAAAATTAAGAAGATTCGAGGACTTCAGATAGATCTATAGAACACATGGAAAGCAGCTTTTACCAATGTTCGAGCGAAGGAAGGATTTGTATTTGACTTAGAAGACATGTACTCAAGGAGGACTTTGGGCACTCCTACGTCGATGATACACTATGGAAAGCTGTTTGAACCAATGTTCGAGCGAAGGAAGGATTTGTATTTGACTTAGAAGACATGTACTCAAGGA